ACAGTGTATTTGCCATGGTACTGCACAAAACACACACACAGTGCACTGCATGACCCCAAATGGTTCTGTCTTAAAGTGTAGCAGGATTTCTATGATAGATGAGGAGTAAGGCCTGGTCTACAGTATGCGGTTATTTCAGAATTAGCTGAGTTACTTCGAAATAAAACTGATTCCGTCCACATGACCAAACCAGTTTTTTCGATTTAAAGGGATCTTTAATCCGATTTCTGTATTCCACCTCAGCAAGTGGAGTAGCGCTAAAATCGAGCTGGCAGTTCCGGGTTGCAGGTACTGTGGACGCAATTCAATGTTATTGGCCTTCAGGAGCTATCCAAGAATGCTCCCTTCTGACGGCCCTGGACAACACTCTCAACTCCGATGCACTAGCCAGGTAGGCAGTAAAAGCCCTGGGAGCTTTTGAATTTCCTGTTTGGTCACCATCAGCACAGGTGACCATCAGCACAGTCCACCATCGCAGGCAACTGTGCAGAGTCCACCATCACAAGAGACCACACAGTCCCGGATTCACAGATGAGCTCCAGCATGGTCCGAACGGGAGGTAGTGGATCTCATCGCATGTTGGGGAGACGAATCTGTTATGGCAGAACTATGTTCCAAAAAAAGAAATGCCAATACATATGCTAAAGTCTCCAGGGCCATGACGGAAAGAGGCTACTCCAGGGACACAGAGCAGTGTCGTACAAAAATCAAGGAGCTCAGGCAAGCGTACCAAAAAGCCAAGGGAGGCGAACGGGTGCTCTGCGTCACAGCCCCATACATGCCGCTTGTACTGTGAGCTGCATGCAATTATGGGGGGTGACGTCACCACTACCCCACCACTGTCTGTTGATACCTGGCAAGGGGGAGTTATTGGAGGATGAAGAGGAGGAGGAGGAGGACAGTGCACAGGCGGCAAGTGGGGAATCGGGTTTTTCCCCCCTAGCCAGGAACTAGTCTTATTGTTGGAGCCAATAGCTTCCTCCCACTCCCAAGGCAAGCTCCCGGACCATGACCCTGGAGAAGGCACTTCTGGTGAGGTGAGAGCTTGATCGGAGCCACGCGGTGGGGGGGGGGGGAAGAGGGCGGGGACAGTGTTGTGTGAAGCGATCATCCCAGAGAGCCTGCAGGCCCTCCTTTTATATGGCAAACCCACCAGGCATTGCTTGCCATGGGAAAGGGGGACCAGCAGTTTGAAAGCATTGAAATGAATGCGGAAGAAGCAGAACCCTGCGTGCCCACTAGGGCTTACCATGGCTGCCTGCAAGCTGATTTCTGTTGCCCAGCCGCATGTGATGGCTTACTTGCTTCTCAACTGTGAGGGCAGCTCTCATTTTGGTGTCTTTACACTTCAGGGCAGGGGACAGCAAGTCAAAAGTCACAAAGTTCCATGAAAGTGGCCCTACGCATACGAAAGTTTCTCACCCACTGGGAATCATCCCATATCCGCAACACTATGCAGTCCCACCAGTCTGTGCTTGTTGCTCAGGCCCAGAATCAGTGTTCCATGGCATGAACCTGGCCCAACACCACCATGATCTCCCAATCGCCACATGCCATGCTTCTAGGAATGTCTGTCAATGTCCTCATCACTATTGTAATCACGCTGTTGTCGCTTCCTCGCCAGTTTTGCAGGTACTGCACATACTGCTGGATAATGCGCGAGGTATTTACAATGGTCAAAACTGCAGCGGAGATCTGAGCGGGCTCCATGGCTATGGCGCCTGCATGGGTAATCCTGGAAAAAAGGCGCAAAACGTAGGGGAGCAGAGTGGCAGCAGAAGAGGTGCTGTTCGGTTCACAAAAGCCAAAAAAAGGCGGGAAATGGTTGTCTTCTATAGCTTTCACAGAGGCGGGAGCCCAGGACAGACAACATGGAGAAGCTCGGTACCGCAGCAAGAGCGGAAGAGCAGAGTTGGCGGCGGAAGCTGTGCTGCTTGGTTCATGATGGCTGAGCAGAGTTGGCAGCGGAAGCATTCGATGAGGAAGAGAGAGAGTAGATAGTACAGATTACTTAGGAAGATAAGAGGAAATGTGAGGTGCATCCATAGCAGGAGAGCAGCAGTGCACCATCTGCTGAAAGCAGTATGGCGTCTGCACTCCAAAAAGGCTCAAAACGATTGTTTGCCATAGCTTCCATGAAGGGAGGAGCGACTGATGACACACACCCAGAAACACCCGCAAGAAGGTTTTTGCCCCATCATGCACTGGGAGCTTAACCCAGAATTCCAATGGGCGGCGGGGACTGCAGGAACTGTGGGATAGCTACCCACAGTGCAGCGCGCCGACATTCAATGCGAGCCTTGGTACGGTGGACGCCCTCCGCCGAATTCACATGCTTTAGTGGGGACACAGAAGATAGAATGTATAAAATCGCTTCCAAAAATTCAAATAGAATAATTTTGAAATAACTTTGTTATATAGACATACCCTAAATGTAGGCGGCTTTGACTGGTGAGCTCATGGAGGAAAGGAATTTTAAGAAGGAATTTGAATGGAGGTGGTGATACCTTCCACCTTTAGGGTGAAAGAGTTCCCAGGTACAGCAAGAAAGCATTAAAGAAAATCTAGAAGAAAGCAGTCAGTCAGGAGTGGGATAAGGATACAAAGGGAGTGGTGAAATAAGGGATTTGGACAGGGAATAATAAAAAAAATTAGAGCAAAGCTGAACATGATGCAAGTCTAAGATACTATAATTTCTGTGCTCAGGTACTGAAAGAGGAGCTGAGTTAAAGTATGAACTTTAACTAATTTAACCTGCAACAGAGGTGCTGGAACAATTTGTATAGTGGGGGTGTTGAGAGCCATTGAATCAAACTGTAAACGCCGTATATGATGAAAACCATTTCAAGCCAGGGGGTATGGCAGCACCCCCAGAACCCATAGTTCCAGCACCTATGACCTACGCTGTCCTGTCAGTTGCTTTGCCTACTATATGCATCTCTTCTGTTCACTTGGTGTGCAAGTTACACCAATTTATACTCACTTGCACCATCTTACATATCACCTTTCAGTCTTCCTGTAGACAGAGGCAGAGTTGTGCCCTCTGAAAAAATTCAGAGCAAAGCAAATATATGATCTGAACAACTATTGAAAAGATTACTTCAGCTGTGTGAATTAAATGAAAGCTGCCATGTTCTGGTTCACATTATCCAAATTTACCAAGAACAGACAGTCTGATTTAATCCATTTTGTTCCTCCTGCCAGAATGAAATTCATTCAGGGCTTTTAAGCTTTTTGTTTTTTCAAGCCTGGGGAGCATTTGTTCCTGTCACACCATCTATTTGGGTGAGGAGGAAACAGGGTAAGTTGCATTTATGTATCTTATTTTGCTGACCACTTTCAGTCGTGGATACTGTTTGGTATGGTCTAAGCAAAATTACACCTGCAACAGGGTAATTGTCCTACAAGGCCAATGGGGCATGAAGGAAAAGGAGAGGGGTTCTTAGCAAACTAGACTTAAGAATCTTCAGCAGTTTGTATGTAAACAGTAATTACTCTTTCTAGTTCATCTCTCATGTCTACTTTTCTAAGATTTGCATTTACACAATACAAAATTGACTCTGATTTATGTCTTTACTTATTGTCATAAATATAAAGGGAAGGGTAAACGCCTTTAAAATCCCTCCTGGCCAGAGGAAAAACCCTTTCACCTGTAAAGGGTTAAGAAGCTAGGATAACCTCGCTGGCACCTGACCAAAATGACCAATGAGGAGAGAAGATGCTTTCAAAGCTGGAGGAGGGGGAGAAACAAAGGCTCTCTCTGTCTGTGTGATGCTTTTGCCAGGAACAGAAAAGGAATGGAGTCTTAGAACTTAGTAAGTAATCTAGCTAGATATGCGTTAGATTCTGTTTTGTTTAAATGGCTGATAAAAATAGCTGTGCTGAATGGAATGTATATTCCTGTTTTTGTGCCTTTTTGTAACTTAAGGTTTTGCCTAGAGGGATTCTGTTTTGAATCTGATTACCCTGTAAGGTATTTACCATCCTGATTTTACAGAGGTGATTCTTTTAGTTTATTTCTTCAATTAAAATTCTTCTTTTAAGAACCTGACTGCTTTTTCGTTGTTCTTAAGATCCAAGGGTTTGGGTCTGTGTTCATCTATGCAAATTGGTGAGGATTTTTATCAAGCCTTCCCCAGGAAAGGGGGTGTAGGGTTTGGGGAGGATTTGGGGGGGAAAGACGTTTCCACGCGGGCTCTTTCCCTGTTATATATTTGCTAGATGCTTGGTGGTGGCAGCAAGAAAGTCCAGGGGCAAAAGGTAAAATAGTTTGTGCCTTGGGGAAGTTTTAACCTAAGCTGGTAAAAATAAGCTTAGGGGGGTTTTCATGCAGGTCCCCACCTCTGTACCCTAGAGTTCAGAGTGGGGAAGGAACCTTGACACTTATATTTACCTGCAAGCAGAGTCAGAGGTTGAAGAGAGAGGTGGTTGAGACAGAGGAGAGCGAAGAGGAAAGCACAGTAGGCCTCTAGTGCTAACAGTGTACTGGCTTCATTCTCTGACCCTGTGCCTTTCTTCAGTATTTGTGGCAAGGATTGTTCCTCAAAAATTGAACTTTTTAGCCACTCACAATGCTCCAGCATGATACAAGTTTTTTGAGATGCCATCAAAATATGTACCAGGGCACTGCCAAGCACATGGTTTAAGAGCCTTACTATTTTAAAACTGTATTTTTTCCAGTAACCCCATTCTATTACCAGTCTACACCAAAAAGGCCAGCATTCTATGAATACATTATAGAATCTTTTTTGGTTATACCTCTGCTCTAGAGTTCTAATCTTCATGTTTACTGTAGTTCAAAGAAGCAGTTTAAACACACTCTGCACAATGAAAAGGATATTGGAAACAAAAGTGACTTAGTAACAATGGGAATGCAAGTACCAACCAGAGGAAAGGGCTACTGATTTTATCATTTAACCTTGTTTTTTTATACAGTGGTGAAACTAAAACAGTTGTAGAAACTTCCAAAATAGCTGAGGCATTAGATGAAAACCACTTACTGTGTTCCCCTGCGCTTTGCTCCTGCGGTTTGAAGGTTACATAAGTTGATTCCCTTGTTTTTCTATTTACCAGGAGTAAAACTGCCTCCAACTGACTCTGTCTGTCTCCTCACTTGTTAGTTTTGCTTGCTGTGCTCACTCTCTCGCTCTCTCCTACACAAAACAGACATGCCGTCAAAGAGGTGGGGCATATTACATGCTATGTCTTTGAACTGTAAATTTTCAGTATATACCGAGCATCTTATTAGAACTCCTCCTCAGTGGTCCCCAAAACTTGTAAATGGGGTATATGTGAACCTGTTATATGATCATTACCATTGTGAAATCGATTACTGGTGCATACAGCAGCATTAGAGTGAATTTGATATCAGCATACATGAAAACCATGTCCTTTGATCTAGGTAAGGCTGGCTTGTTTGGATTTTTGAATTGTTTTTTGTTGGTTGATAGTCTTTTAATTTGAGTTGTTGCCTGCGGAATGTGTAATAGTGTTTTAGGCCAAAGACAAATGAAAAGCAAAGTTTTATATCTGGTGCCTTAGAAGTATATACATATTATAAATTCAGCTGCTTGATTGTGTAATACATTTGGAACATATTTGTTCAACTGACAAATCTGTAGATTTTTTTTTCTTGGAGTGTTTGCTTAGTTCATCGTGCAAAAATACTTTTTCTGCTCATCTTGCTACTTTCACCTCAACTCTCAAACAATTGAGTTTGCAGATATTTAAGTGCTTTCTATTTCTGGTTTGCTATTGAGCTGACAGCAACAATTCTGTTTACAGTTGAAAGGTCCATAGACTATGTTGCTATAAATCAGTATTTGTCTGAAATGTTTATTTTCTCAGTGGTTCATGAATTAAGTACACATGGTTAATTTTGGGAGAGACAGGTTTGCTTTGCCAATTAATTCTGTATATGTGGTCTTGCAGTGGCCACTTTCACTTACTCTATGCTTATTTTTCTAACTTGCTTTGCACTAAGGAGTAGTGTTCTTTTTAAAAAATTGCATTGTAATTTCAGCCTTGATAAGTGCTTACTGTGCAGGACACACAGTGTAAACATTCTCTGACCCTAAGAGCAAACTAGAACTATATTTTTTGAAAATGGAATCTAATCCAAAATTAGAGATGAAATAGATTTGTGAGGGGGTACATTGTAAAGCCCATCATCCCTGGCTGTTTTGAAAAGCACAGAACCAGTTAGCAGGGGGTAGGAGAAGTGAGAACTTCTTCTATGTGCTTGGATTTGGGGTTTGATCTGGGGTTTTGATAGCAGTCTGCTGAGGAAGCTTGGGGTGAACTATGCAGCTAACTCTGCAGGACTCCATTCTCTGCAGGTCTATCCACCCCAACCGCAGTCCTCCTGACTTCAGCTTTTGCTGGTGTCAAACTTCTCACAGGTACACTGGGTGACATGTCACCCATATCAAGCAACTCCATTAGCTCCTCATTCATTTCATGTACCAATGCATGGGCCCAGAGGTTTTTAAAACCATTCTGATTTTAGAGACTAACCAATTTATTTGAGCATGAGCTGTAGCTCATGAAAGCTCATGCTCAAATAAATTGGTTAGTCTCTAAGGTGCCACAAGTACTCCTTTTCTTTTTGCGAATACAGACTAACACGGCTGTTACTCTGAAACCTGTCATTCTGATTTTGTTTTAGCTCAAAGAACTGGTCTCTTATTCCTCTCCTAACTCCCTTAATTCGTGTGCTATCTTCTGTGCACCTTTGCACAATCTCACCATGATGGATGCAAGAATTTTTCTCTACATTCCTTCCCCCCCAGCCCCCCGCTTTTGTATTTTTATTTCAACTTTGTAACACCACCCTGTTTTGGGGACACAATGTGTGTGAAAGAATATGCTTCATAAAGTTGTATTGTAAAACGTTACTGCAGAAAGGAAGTTGGCAGGATGTGAACAGCTGTGTGTTAGGGGGCTTATTCCTTCACCCACTTACTTCCCTGGTCCTTCTCGCATGAACAGAGAGCAACAATACCCGAAGTCCAAAGGTGCAAACAATTCGATGTTTATTGGGGTGAACTTCCAGCAAGCATGATTCCAGTTTCCTTCCTTAGTATCCTCCTTCCCAGCTCTGACACCACAGAGCCTTACACCTGTGTCCCTGTTCCCATTCCTACCCTTAGCCAAACATGATTCCAACTTCCTTACTCCCATTCCCTGTTCCCATTTCCCCCTTTAGCAAAACATGATTCCAACTTCCTTACTCCCATTCCCTGTTCCCATTTCCCCCTTTAGCAAAACATGATTCCAATTTTCTTACCCCCATTCCCTGTTCCCATCTCACACACCCACATGCCCACCCCCACCCACACCCCGTCACTTCCTCATTGACTACAGATTATATAGTAAAACTTGAGTTCTGCTTAGCTATACCTTAACCAATCATTTTCCTGAAATTTAACTAACCAATCCTAACATATTGTAACATGATTATGTAACCAATTATATCCCACCACCTCAATTAGTTTACACCCAGCAAAATTAATTATACAGCAGACAGGAACAATCACAGAACCAGACAGAGATTATACAGACAAACAACAGCAAAGTGGGAACTATAATGACAAAACAATACAAAAGTGAGGATTTCACATCCCAGCTATTGATAAGTGAGTTCTTGCCAGACAGGATGCTATCAAACTAAGTTTCCTTTTACATTTTCTAGGCACTTCCCTTCCTCTGGAGGTGATAGGAATACAATCCTGTCCTGATAGTGCCTAACAGCCCAATAGCACCTTATTTCAATGTGACCAGTTTGGAATGTGAGGATGTGACCGTTCGCTTCCCAGCTTATGGCTGCCTCTGCTGCTTAGCCAAAGGCCTGAGCCTAAGCACAGGGCCACAAACTGTCACAGTAAGAGAAGGCCCTTACACTGGCAGACAGTGGTTTTGATTCTTTCTTTCTTTTATACCTCTATCACTAGCCAAGTAATAAGAATACATCTAAATTCTTAGAGTATAGGCCTTTACAGACAGGCCTGAATATCTATATCCTAACACTGTGCGTTGGAAGTAAATGATAATGCATATGGTTCTTGTACATAGTATGCATACTTTTTTTTGCTTTTTGAGGGGAAAAAATGTCTAGGGTGGTTATTGTGGTCAAATTCTGTTCACATGGTATTAAGAGTACAATTCTTTGTTAGTTGCCATCAGAGTGATGTGCGATAGAACAGAGGTTCTCAAACTGTAATCCACGGACCACTGGTTCAGGTGATCCGCGGATAGTTCCCTCTAAGGTGTGAACTTGGGTGGCCGCACATGAGAGAATGAAGGGCCACCCATCTAATTAGTGGAGTCACGCAGGCATGGCTCCACTAATGAAGTGCCTGGACCCTGGAGAAGATGCACATGTACAGTGAGGTGGTGGCCTTGGGGGAAATAAGGGGTAGATGGGAGGAGGCAGTGGGGTGAGAAGAGGGAGTGGGGGGAATTTGGGATGTGCAGGGCTGCGGCAGCTAGAGACAGAGGTGACTTTCCCCAGCTCCAGGGCTGCAGCTGCCAGGGAGAGACCCCCCACTCCTTCCCAGCCCCAGCTCAGGGGCTGCTGCAGCGGGGGAGAGAGGGCACATCCATCACATTAGAAAGGTAAGACTACTGATATAAAAATATGAGTTGTGTGCTTTTATTTGTAGAACAAAAAAAGTTAGATTTTTTTTTATGTAGCGCCTTTATCCAAAGCGCTTTACAATAGTTAGCTAATGGTTCAAACATTTGGAAAGATCATTAAGTAGTCCACCGAGACCCTCAGCAATTTTCAAGTGGCCCATGGAAAAAAAAAAAGTTTGAGAACCACTGCAATAGAACAATTGGTGAAGGGCAGCACTTGCCTTTTAGTTTATGGAAACTGATCAATATTGGGTGATTAGGCAATTTCACTCAGGTTGTAACCCCTCCAGAAAAGTACTGCTACCTGCAGAGGCTTGCGTATACTAGTTCAAACTGAATTCTCCAGCAACCGACAGAAAAAGAAGGGACTTTTGGATAAAAAGCCTGAGTTTAAACTGACTCAGGGTCTTCTTTCTTATCCAGCAAACAGTCGGGGCCTTCTGTTCAAGGCCCCCCCCCCACCCCAAATCCTTTCAGGGAGGAGTTGGAAGGACTTAATCTAGTGAGGCTATATAAGACGGGTGACCTCTAGTAAGCTTTTAGCATGCATATATTTACTATTTTTAATGTTTTCTTTGTAATGCTTTTACCTTAAAAATAAATGTGCTTGCTTATAAAGAGCTGTGTGGTAACTTGTGACTGCTGGCCATTACAGCTAATCATAACCTTCAAGGAGAAAGCAAAGTGCAGGTGCTGGCCTATTGGGGATATAACAATGTAGCCAGGCAGAACTGTGCAGCCTGGAAAAACCCTGGTCAGGAGGGAGAGAGATGCGGGTCTCTGCCTGAGAGAGGTGATGTCTGAGAAGCTGTGAACCTAGAATGAGTGCCTTCGAGGGACCACAGTTGACATTAAATGGTACTGGAGCTTCCAGAAGAACACCAAATATTGTGAGTTGGCAACAATCTGTTGGTTTTAAGTTGCCTTTTTTACCTGGCCAAAGGTTTAGAAGCTTTAATTTGATAAACTGAAGGAGGGTATTTGCAGAAAGAAGGACTTGGGAGATTGAGGGCCTTTCCCAGACAGGCCACAGTGGATGCTGCATGGGCTCTGGCAAACCCCATACAAAGACATTTGCCTTCATGAAACACTGGTAACTTTTACAAGGAGGCTTATTTCAGCATTTTTTTTTCAGTAGCATGGGATTTTGTGGAAAGTTCCTACTTTTTTATTTTAGGAATACTATAAACGCCAGGACAGGAAAGTGATTTAAATAGTCATAGGATGCTTCAGCTGTTTTCAGTGTGCAGTGCTTCCAATAAGCAATTAAAGTCTTTTTGCATCAAAAAAACCTTAGAAGTATTCCCAGTTTGGGAATTAATCAAGTGATGTGTGCTAATACTAGTTGATGTAATGAAATAACTATACTTTTTTTGAGTGGGGGCAGGGAGAGGGGTGAAGGGTTTGGACAATGTAAAAACATTAAACTGTTGACCTTGGTCTTTCTG